TCTCTGATCCAACACGTCATTAGCTTTGGTTCTCTGATCCTCCAGTGTCTTCACATGCTCAGACAGGTCATCAAACCTTTTGTTAAGGCCGATGGTCATGTCATCTATCCTTGTTCGCAGGGCAGCATCGATGAGGGCTTGGGAGGCAAGGAACTGATTCAGCTTGGCTTCCAATCGATTAATCAGGATGTTAAGTCGATTGTTCTCATAGTTCTGGTTCAGAATCTAATGAGGAAGAGGATGAGATGGTCGACGATTCACCAGGTGTGGCGAATAGGGCTCATCTCGACGGTGTGGAGGTCGCGAGTCTCCATGGTGGTGGTTCGGATTAGGGTTCCGAAGATGATGATCAAAATCACGCCTGGAGGGTGATTCACATTCGCAGGGAGCTTCACACAGGTCGCTAGACCTTCGTTCGAGATTAGGATTTCTTCTTGGATGATCCATGCTTCAAAGGTTTCTGAAACTAGGGCAAACAAAAGAGAGAATAAGCAGAAAAAGAAAATCCTCCCAGGTTTACTTCATATGTTGTTTTGGCAGAAACTCGACATATATATAGTCTTTTGCGGCTTCAACCTCCCAGGTTTTAGACCTCCAGAGACTAAAATCCTCCCCGGCAACGGCACCAAAAACTTGATGGGCTTGCGGGCCTAGGTTTGTTTTTAACAAGCCCGTTGGTCCTTCAAAAGTTTTAAATTTATAAAACCTAGTGTCTGCCAGTGCACAGATGTACGTTGTAAGACTTAGGGTGTCGATCCACAGGGAGGATGTCTAATCTGCGAGAAACAACAAACTGGGAAGTAAGTAAAGTCATAAACCAATCAAAGTTTTAGGGAATTTTGGTTAAGATCCTAAACTAAACCTAATCTAATATTCACAAGAAATAAAAATGCAATGCAGGATGAATTTTTAAAAGAACATCAAAAGCATATCGACTCAAACTAAAGACTTTTAAACTCATAGGTGGCGATTTAGACTTCTCCGCTTTACTCTAATCGATGTATGATGGCATTTCCGATTAGCTTCCGGGCGATTTATCTTCATATGTTTCTGGGAATCTGCATGGAACTAGAATAGACATATGTATGATTAACCAACTCTCGTCACCTTAATCAACTAATCTCTTAGATCTAGCAATTAACTCTCGCTCTCATGCTAAACTTAAGATCAAGCATTAAACATTGAATTCGTCTGCTCACATCTTCTCTATAGGTAGCTTTCGACTCCTATAGCGACTATGTTCTTCTAAAGCTAGGTACGGATGATCTGATACATCACTCTCGTGGCTCTGATCGATCCTAAGCTCAGAGAATAGGTCATGAATCTACTCTCATGCTTTAAGAACAAATTAGAAGAGATGAGATCCAGAATATAGTCTAGAACAATAGAAATCCTAATCGATATATATGCTTGTCGATATCTTCAAACAACTTGACTCTCTAGGACTAATCTACATGATGCAATGAATGATGAAAGACATAGAAGAATGCAAAAGAATGAAACAGAAAAGTTAATAAGATAAAAAGGAGAAAGAACAATGGATCTGGGGAAGAATCCCCATCTCTATCGCCTAACCCTAGAAATACAGATTTTGGTGGCTTAAAATCTCATTAAAGGAGCACACACCCGTTTAAGGCTGCTAAACAATGTATTTATAAGTCCTAAGGTCTTCCAGGTCTCATTTAGGGCTTCTCTGAAGAGGAATGGCGAAGTGGGCTTTGATGTTGGGCCTTGTGGCTCGTCCTAAGGTCCACCGGGGGTAAGAGTCTTCTAGGACTGGTAAAACATGTGTTTACCGCGGGTGAGAGTCTTCCGGGACTGGTGAACTGGGTCAACTTGTTCTCCATGTATCTTTTGATTGCACCGTTGGATCTTTGTGATGTAAAGTGATATAGAAAGCTGGTTGTCTCCTCTTGATTGTCTCCATATTTGAGCTGGATCGGACGGTGGGAAGGCCTCCATTTGTTACCAAACTTCTGACGGTCTGACTCTAAGCTAAAAAAATGGATTTCTTCTATTTTGCCATCATATTCCCTAAGTTTCCTTAAAAAAGCCTTGAAACTACAAATACATGAAAATCATAATAAAAGTTACTAAAACTAAGTAAAAACTTTGAAAAAGCATTTGAAATCAATGGTGAAAATAGGTCAAAATTGGGTGTTATCAGGACCTTAGTGCAAGAGCTTGTGAGAAAGCATCGGACTGCACCTCAGTTAAATCAAGCCCGGTGTATATGCTTGACGTTCAAAGGAGTTTAGATAGTTTTGGCTCCGGGCTGCTTCTTCTAGAGCCACATCTCGGTGCAAAAACAGAAGAAGAAACACCAGCAACAACACCAGCCACAACATCGGCCATTTCATGCCCGGAGTGTGGTATCTTTTGTGAGACAAGGGAAGAAAGAGTTTACACCGAAGTGCATCATGTCGATGTGGAACTCGGTGTAAACTCAGCTGTCAAGGAAAAGTGGGGTTTCAAGGGAAAATGGACAAGGATCAAGGAACAAGAAGCAATACCAATGGAGCAAGATAACATCAATGAGAATTGGAGTGAACTCAAGGCTCCTAAGGTGGAACTCAAACCATTCTCTAGTGGTCTCAGGTCTGCATTTATTGGTCCTAATGCATCTTACCTAGTCATCATAAATGATAGTTTATTAGAACATGAAGAGCATGCATTGTTGAATGATCTAAGAAGGTTTAGGAAAGCTATAGGCTGTTTATTAGATGACATCAAAGAGATTTCACCTATTCTATGCACACATAGGATAAATTGGAGGAAGAATCTATGACTTCTATTAAACATAAGAGAAGGTTAAACCCTAATCTAAAGGATGTTATAAAGAAAGAGATCCTCAAACTCTTAGAAGCAGGAATTATCTATCCAATTTCCTTTTAATCCTTTTTGCCTGTTCTCGAGGCTTAGTTGAATATAAGAATTGTAAATAAACCAAATTTCCACCTTTTCAAAGTAAAACTCTTCTGCATATTCATCAACTGTGCGTGCACCTTGTCGTAAGTTCTGCATCCGAGTAAACATTTTGCGGTTGTGGTTTAGCGGAATAAAATGTTCTCGTAGATGCTTCTTAAGCTTTTCCCATGTTTCAATCCTTGTTTTCCCTGTGCGAGCTCTATTTGTTTTGAGCTGTAACCACCATGAAGCTGCTCTGCCTCGAAACCTTGTGGCGACAAGCGATACGCGACGTTCTGGTGGAACCTGTTTAAATTCAAATACCTCTTCTACGGCGATGATCCAATCTAACAGATCGTCTTCACGTACGCTTCCTTGAATTCGGGAATATCCACTTTCAGCCCTGTTTCCCAGCGATGATCATTACCATGTTGATTGTGTCGCACCTCGTGTTGTTGTTGGTGTTGCTGTATCTGTTGGTGTTGAGGTCGTTCGTGAGGGTTATTATTGACAGTGACGGCTTCGTTGTTGACGTCTGCATCACCAACACGATTATTTGCAGTGACGGCTGCAATAAACGTGTGCTGGTTTTGAGCCAGTGTCTCTCCCAGACCGTGAATCGACTGTTGAAGTGTTTGCTGCAGAGATTCCTGCATCGCGATCAAAGATCGTTGTAAGTCAGCCATCAAAATTTCTTCGTGATCTTTCTTAGGCGGTATGGTGATTTGATGATTCAAGCTAGATCCAGAAAAGTTCTTGTAATCTGATACCAACTGGTGGAGTAGCAGAAGCTAAGTAACTTAGGAAAGAAGAGAACTCGAGGAGAACTCTTAAGATTAGTCTGTGTTTGTTCTATTCGAATGAGAGATCGAACAAAATAAGAGTTGAGAGTGCTCCTCTCAGCGCTAAGCAAGGCAAAGCTCTTTGGATAATTTTGATTTCCTCTTTTTGGTTTTTTATTAGGTTTTCTTAAAAGCAATCGTGAATCAAAAACAAAACCTAGACTCCTTTATATAGCTGCTAAGAGCATCTCCATCCCTCATTCTTATAAGAGGTTGTTAAACATTGTTTAATATTAAATTTGACATCTTAAAAAAATATTAAACATTGCTTATTTCTCTCTGTTTCTCTTTCTTCCAATTACATGGTGCCATGTGTTATATACTCACTAAAATAAGGTTCTTCCACAAGAGTTTATGAACCTAAGATATAAGTTTTTTTCCCTTTTTTATTTTTTTTTAAATACTTAAAAACCCTTACAATCCCAATATATCTTTGCAATGGAGATGGTCTAACAAAGCCCCAAGGATTTCTTAAATAAAAGGAAAAGAGCTTAAACCGTCAAACAAAATAAAAAGGAAAAACATAACTTGAAGGACACGTGAACACCAAAGCCAAAGACGTGAACCTTCTAAAACAGATAAGGATGCTCTGCATCAGTATACAAGTTCATTTTGAAGCTGAGAAAAGTGAAATTTTCAAATTAAAGAGGTAGAAAACAGTTCTGAAACCCTACACCCTTAAATCCTAAATTTTGTTGTTGAGATTACAAACCCCATTTGATGTTTATGGATCAAGCTACTTATTACGAGTCTTGTTGATCCCTTTGTAGCACTTGTGTGATTTGATTACCAATTTAGATATTTTCCAAAAAAAAAATTTTGAACCACAAGCTAATTTTCCAATTCAACGATACACAAATAGAGTTTTGACACCACGGTTTATGGTCTGGTTCAAACCGAGATATATGTTTTTGATCACAGAGTGATATGGATCTAAAATAAAGGATAAAAAATAGTTTTTTTTGTGGTTTAAAAAAAAGTTTGTTGTTTTCTTAACATTTAGACTAAAAAAAAAAATAGTTTGTTTTTGGCCATGAAATGTTCTAGATCAAAACTGAAATAGAAACTCTGATATATATCACTGATGCGATCCCAATCAAAACGTAAGATAGGACACTAATGACAGCTTATTGCTTCTTTTGCTTATGATTTAATCTAGGAAACATCAAACAAAGGATGCAAAGAAAGTTGGTATCGTAATTTCAAACAAGTTACAAGCAAGGGAAAGTCGGAAAGTGGAGAGATGGGTCCCTAAACATAAGGAAAACCACCTTCTCTCATTATTGTGGAGAGTGGAGAGATGGAGAGATGAGCACCAACAGATGAACAAGTGCTTCAGCTGCATCATCTTCACCACTTCACAGCTTTGAGATCGCAAAAGAAGGCAAGTTCTTCCTTTGTAGAAGCTTTAGATCCTCCCATCCTTCCTCTTCCTCCACTTTCTTGAAGTACTGCTCTACCATGCTATCCTTCATCTCCTCCAGTCTCCATGGCTTCCACTGTAGTTTCATTAGACGTTTTTATACCAACAATATGACATATCACAAATAATAAATGAAGATATTTTGTTTAAACCTTTGGGCTCCTATCCTTGTCTATCAATATGGCTCTGGCTCCCTGCATAAAGTAAAGACACACGATATTGTTATTATGTCTAAAACAAGGACAGTCTCTGGAGGAAGAGATCCACAATCGTGAAAGGTGACAAAAAACCTCCAAAAAGTCTTTGCTTATATCTCCCTTCATCACATGACACACCATTCTATACTCACGAATAAGACACTGCCCCACACTTTGGAACCGTCCTTCTCTTATCTGAAGTTTATACACACAGTCAATATCTCTTTCCCATCATTATTGCATGCTTTGTGATGCATCTGCAAAACTAACCGATCTAAGAGCGATTTTAAGGCTTGCTGGTGAAGCCTTCTTCAATGCTCCAATGGTAGTTGAGATCCAATCATTTGGTTCCTGAGTGGCCTCTCTCTCCTAACCAACACATATATATGATGGTAGATTGGTAGAGTGCACTGTCAATGGTAACTCAGGATTGCAAATTACAGCCCAAGCAGAGCATGCTTGCGGCCAATTTTCTTATACAAAAATACGGTTCTTAGATTTCAAAAAATATCTTTAGTCTAGTGACTAGTGATAAAATTATTAGGAAAAAAAAATATATATTTTTCAAGCAATCTTCAAACTTAATGCGGTAAAATAGCTCAATTTGTTTCCTAGTTTGTGGCCTTGCTCAGGGCTGGCTCTGCATGTTAACATGTACTAATGAGAAACTTACAAGTGCTGATACAATTTCTTCGACCGTTCTCTTCGAGAAGCACCTATCAATAACATCTAACCTACATAAAGAAACAAACGAAATGATGAGAAACAACTGACACAAATTTACTACTGAGAGATGGATCATGTAGAGAGTGATTGAAAGTTGTAACCAATACAACGTTGAAATTGATAATACATGTGATGTAATCATGATCAATAAGAGAGAAAAAAATTTAAGCACATGACTTGGAATGCTTGAGAATTGCGATGTTGGCATGAAAAGGTATTCGCAAACTCTGGAATAAGTAGAAAAGAGTAAAAGAGATAACTTCAATATACACTTGCCTGTGGTAAGCACTATGCTGTTTCAGGTGCGGTTTCTGAGTGTATGCATCAATAATTGTTGAGGCAAAGATTGGATTACTTGATCTAACTTCGCAAAGATCTGCTTCTAATGCAGTCAACCTCTGCGACAAGTAATAATCTTACTAAGTAAAAATTCTTGGCCAAAGCAAATGGTGCTGTAAAAAATAGATCTTAAGTGTAAAAATAATTCAGCATGTGGTAGGAGATGAAGATACTACAAATCCAAACTTGGACCGCAAGTTTTGGTTATTGACATATCTTTTATATACTAAAGCACAAGTCACTTGACCAATAAAAATGTAATATGTGGCAAGTTCTCAAAATTAAAAAAAAAATTAACAAAAAATAAAATAAAACGTGGTAAAAAAGAAGAGCACAAATCCCTTTATGCAAAAAAGTCCTGATTTTTCTCACCCAAAACTCCTAAATTTTCTCTTCCAAACCCACTACTTTCACTAACCACAACTTCCTCTATCCTAATTCCAATCATATCACGATTTGCTTATGTAACTGTCATTTTAGCTATTTCTATCTTCTTCTCCATGATCCATCCTCTATTAATTTTCTATTTTGACATGTTTTCATGGATGAACCGAGTTAAGTTTCAATTTGTTGGAATCTATCATATATTGTTTTCATGATAATTCTACAGAAAAAGAATAAATGGGTGATTCTTGGAGCACTAACACAAGTTTTCATGAATGTGAAGGAGTAGATGGAAAACAAAAAGCAGCTAAGGCTAAAACGAGAAGGTGAATAGCTTTCCAAAGAGCACGAGCACAAGATATTAGAAAATGGTTGATGTTCCCATTCTCTTTAAGGAACTACAGAACAAAAGAAAAACCATCCACATATTAAAGGTATTTGATTCTACAAACTTTTAAGAATTCCATCATTTCTTCTTTAAAATTTTCTAAAGTTACAAAAATTAGTATTACAAACTAGCTTTAAGTAGCATTCGCTACAAACATTTTCATTGTATCTTCTGTTTTTTGTTCCTTTTTCACAGGTTGTTCAATGTCATTTATCATTATATATTCACAATATGCTATAGTTTGAGAATGCATAAATGTAGATTAAAACAAAACAAAAAATATTGGTACATTTTTTAACAAAAAAAATTGTAATTTGACTACATGATAAACCAAATATGTTAACTTTTTAACTAATTAAAATAAAATAAAATAAGGTATACTTTACCCGTACGTAGTACGGGCCTTAATACTAGTAAGTTATAACTGTCAATGCAAGAGATCAAGCCGGAGAAAATAAGCACGCTGAACAAGCATGTTCTAAAGACGTACGACTATGGTGCAATGCAATGCAAGTAGCGACGGACCCACAACTGTTTATTTATATATGGATCATTTATATTATTATTATTTTTTTGGTCACTCGATTACGATTAGTATATTTTTTTTTTAAGTTTCTATTTAAAGAAATGGACGAGTCTCGAAATTATGTAGTGGGGTCGCCATAATTGAGCAACTATACTATGTACTATTTATTCAATTCCATGCAATTAAAAATAGTTATATATTTAGCGGTGTTTATTTCTTATCAACTACATTACTAGACGTTCATACCAAAAGCAAAGTAACGTTCATACCGTTGAAGGCACAAAATGAGTTGCAAGACCACAAGCAAGCATTTCAGCACCATCTAACCTAGCTCCTGTGAGGCCAACATACTCTCCTGAAAAAGAAGACATGAAGAATGAGAGAAGCTTAAACTTTTTTTTTTTTGAAAGAGTCTCAAACAATTCTCTGAACATGCAAAACCAAATGACTGTTCGTTACCCAAAAATCCAGGGAGCCTTGACAAGAAGTAAGAGGCGCCTACATCTGGAAAGAGCCCCAGTTCTGTCTCAGGCATGGCAAAAACCTTTAAAAGAAAATTTAAAAAAATATGAGCATATTTAAGAGCGCATGTTCTAATATATTTCATCCATGGACATGTTTAAGAAAAGAATACCGTTTTCTCAGTTGCCACACGAAATCGACCATGGATGGACACACCAGCTCCCCCTCCCATGACAATACCATTCAAAATCGAAACCTATGATTTAAAACAGTATTAAAGTATTACTCTGTTTATTATATATAATATCTAAATTTTATACGTCTATTTTTTTAACTTTAAATAAAAAACGGAGTTGACCGACCAGTTCCACATATCCAAATCGTATTAATCAAAATACTTGTATCCTATATTCTTTGGACAGGTCGGATCCCGATACTTTTCGCAGCCATAACATACCTGAGCTTTGGTATTCGTGGCCATAACATAGTTAAGCGTGTATTCATCCGTAAAGAAATCGGCACCGAGCCTCCATTTGCCTAGTCCACGAAAGTAGAGAAAGAGTGTGTAGAAGCTGAAAGTAAGCAAAAGAACGAGAATTAAGATGGAAAGGTGATAGTGATATACCTTGTTTGATGTCACGAACAACAGATAGAACATCTCCACCAGCACAAAAAGCTCTTCCCTGACCCTGTGGACAAAGTTATTCACTGTTGTGCAAATTAACTGAAGAAATTATAAGGATAGTGATTACCTTTAGGATGACAAGTTTCACACTAGGGTCCTCCTCATATGCAAGGAACAGTTGCAGCAAACGAGAGATCTATAGAGAAGTTTGGTTCAGCAATTTTAACCAAAAAAAAAAAAAAGTTTGGTTCAGCAAATTAATATGTAACGAGTGCAAGAAAGGGAGACGAAACAACAAGGAAAAGATTAATTACCATGTCGAAGGACAGAGCATTCAGCTGCTTTGGCCTGTTTAGTGTCAAGATTCTAACACTCGATTTCTCTTCCACCAAAACCTGTGATTATATTGATTCAGAGAGAGAAGGATTGTTCGTCGTCGATTTGCATGCTACTAATTAAAGAAGGGAGAAGTGACCTGAGTTTGAGAGGACATTGTCGTTTTCTTCTTCTTCTCCTCCTCTTCTCTTCTTTCTTACCGGTCAGCCTTTAAAGATTATGAGACTGAATGTTTCTTATTAGAGACTTTAAGCGTATATATATAGTGTTTTTTTAAAAAGAAATTATGTGATTTTTTACTATATAAACCAAATTCAAATATCAATTAACCCTTCCGAAAGGGTTTTTATTCGTATTTCAGAGTTTATTCATAAATGTCAGTCATTTTTTTTGCAAAGTAATTCGTCTCGTGCGAGCTTTTATATTTAGTCACGTTTATTGATGATAATTTATTTAAAAAAAAATAACAAAACTATAAAATTTATTGAGTGGAAGCACTTGTGCAGGTTCTTTATTTCGTTGGGTGTGAACAAGTGCTGAGTCTTTCTTTTTTCTTTTTTTTTTTCTCCTAAATAAAGTGTTATTCTTTTTCTATTATTGTGGTTGTAGATGCTGACCAGATCGAGTTTTTTTATACCAACTACATATTGACATAGATTTCTTTTTTCTTTTTGAATCGTATAGTGACATATATTTAATAATATACATATATTTTCATATGATTTTGTTTTTCTGGTTTTTATTGATAGTGGGGTTAAGATTCACTTTTAGACTAAAAGTATGATAGACGATTATTAAATATATTTATAGTGACTAAATCACACGGTCCACACCTAATCATCGTATACTAGATTTTGCGTCCATGTGTAAGTATTTTATTGATAAAAATTATATACAATCAATTATATTTATTAAGATATATAATTTTTATATTTGTATTTTAATAATATATTAAAAATATTATGCTTTTAACGGTTTTGTTTTGAATCTTTATACAGTATGTCATATTTCAAAAACGTATTATTTAGTCAAACATTTATAAGTTAATATATCCAAACCAACTAAAAATTTTACAAATTAATTAAATGGTACTTTTTAAACATAGTATTGACATCATATAAAATATTATACATTCACTTCTTTAAATCATGAAGATAATTTTTTCATCATTTTTATTTTTATGAAGATAAAAATATTATAGTATTGTGAAGATAAAAATAAAGATAATTTTTATGAAGATAAAGATAAAAATAATATACTACTTTTTATGAAGATAATTTTTCATAAAATATTATAGTATTGACATAAAATATATGTGTTCTTTAAAAATAATAAAATTTAAAATTTATTTGAAGAAAGATTAAAGTAATAGATTAAAGATGGTAAGATAATATATGCAATTAGGGGAAAGATTATCCATAATTGTGCTGTAAGACTGTAAACTTGTACGGAAAATGTTTTTTTTTTAATCTTTGATCTATTAGATATTTGACCAATCAGATTTTGTAGATAATATCCAAAATAGTAAAAATACTATGCAGTAGACTGAAAAGAATTTTCTCAATACTGGTTTCTATTTTTTTTTTTTTGTTGAAATGTAAAATTTATTAATCAACAAATAAAAAAAATATTGGTTTCTATTACAAACTAGTGAACCCAAAAACAAATATATTAACCCTTAATTTTATTCAAATTGTGGGGCTCGTGATTTTAAAGTTTTAGTTTGTTTATTGATACATTTTTTTAAGTTTATTTCCTTGATTCTAAGCTGTATTTTATAACTTGAAAATAAATATCGTTAATCATTTTTTAAATTTATATTCAATTATTTTTTAAATATCGTTAATACATTTTTTAAGTTTATTTTTTCAATTATATTCAATCCTTATAAAAATGTTTTGAAATTTTTCTTTCTCTTTCGCTTTCTATTAATCACAGGCTATTTTAGCTTCAGTTTTATGACCATAAAAGCTAACATGTTAAAAACTATGACAGAAGTATTAATCTCGAATATCAGGAAAGTGGAGCAGGACAAGAAATTAACTGGACTTAGGGTTGCAAGAGTAAGCCCATCAATTTTGCATCTGCTTTTCGCGAATGATAGTCTATTTTTCTGTGAAGCAACGAAGGAGGAATGTCAGCAGATACTACAAATACTTCATCAATATGAGATGGTGGTATCAGGCCAGCAAATAAATTTTGATAAGTCCTCTATCATATTTACACATACGGTTCTCGTGGAGGTACAAAATGAAATGAAAGAAATTCTACGGATACATAAAAATGGTGGAATGGGGTCTTATTTAGGTCTCCCGGGAATCTTGGCAGTGCAAAGAGCAAAATCTCCCAATTCTTAGCGGATCGTCAACAAGACCGGGTTAATGTATAGACATCCAGGTTACTGTCCAAAGGGGGAAAAGAGGTTTTGCTTAAGTCGGTGGCATCGATATTGCCGACATTTGTAATGTCGTGCTTCTGATTACCTAAGTCGATAATCACAAAACTGACAAGTATAGCAGCGAGATTCTGGTGGAACACGAACGGCCAAGGAAGAGGGATGCATTGGATGGCATGGAAGAAATTGTGTCAACCAAAAGCTGACGGGAGATTGGGATTTCGGGCGATAGAAGACTTTAATACAGCGTTATTGGCAAAGCAATTATGGCGCCTGATGGACGAACCAGAGTCCTTGTTCGCCAGAGTTTTTAACACGACACCGATGGATGATATTCGCTCTTACTCTCTATCATATGGATGGCGGAGCATTATCTCAGCTAGATCTCTGGTTAATAAAGAGATCAGGGTGCTCTATCTCGGTTTGGAACGACTCCTGGATTCATTCTTCTAGCCCGAGATCAGCTATATGTAAGGGTTATAATTATTACCCAAATCTTATGGTTAATCATTTGGTTGACCCAACGACTAATATGTGGAATTGGGGGCTGAATAATGCTATCATTGACCCAATAAGTAATACTTATAGACCAGATACAAACGGATGGCACTTTACGAAAACAGGACGATACACGGACAAATCGGGGTACCAAATAGAACAACAGTTCTCAGAAGGTGAAGCACATTGTTTCCATGGTCCAGACTTTAAGAAACTACAAGCACATACATGGAAATTGAAATGCTCTCGTAAACTAAGACATTTCATCTGGCAGGCAATTTCTGGATGCTTGGCGGTAAAAGCAAATAGAAATAACAGAGGAATAAATGGTGATACACAATATGCCCGATGTAAAGCGGATGAAGAAACAATAAATCATGTGTTGTTTGAATGTCCCAGGGCAATACAAACTTGGACTTTATCGTCAATACCTACACCGTCGAGACTGTTCCCTACGACATCGGTCTATGCAAACTTCGATCACCTATTTTGGCAAAATCCAAGAAAGGATTCTGATAATGTTTTCCCGTGGATAGTATGGTACATATGGAAAGCGAGAAATGATAAAATATTTTCGAATGAAGACAGGGATCCAAGATTGACATTAAGACTAACGGAAATGGAAGCGGCCCTGTGGGAAAAAGTACAAAAGATCGATCAGGAATCAGAGAATATAATATACAACACCACCCCAGGCACAGTATCCACTAATGGTTGGTGGTGCAATGTGGATGGTTCGTAGAAAAAAATGGATAAAGCCACATGCATAGGATGGTATTATTGGAGAGAAAATACGGCAGAATATATAGTAGAACACGGAATTTACGACAGAGTCTAACCCCTTTGCACGCAGAGTTAGAAGCACTTATTTAGGCGATGCATTGTATGATTGATAATCAACAGACTGCAGTAACATTTGCAACGGACTGCTTGGATGTGGTGAAGATGGTGTCGACACCTAAGGAGTGCCCCACATTTGTATAGCATTTGGAGGATTTTGCGAAGAGCAAGGATAGATTCACCTCATTTTTGCTGGTTCACATTCCACGCGCAAGGAACACAGCGGCGAACATGCTTGCACGGAGTGCTAGAGTCCACCCAGATGACGTTATATATGTTAACTCAGTTCCTCCGACTTGGTTGGTCTAGTCGAATTAAATGCTGAGGCTGTTGACAAAAAAAAAAAAAACTATGACAGAGTCAAATATGATTTTTTTAGAAATTTTCTTATTGAAATGTGTTTTGGTACAAGTTGGTAGATTGGATAATGATCAATTACCTACACAGTCTTACAGAATAAAGCTGCTCATGGATTCCTTATGTTCATTAAGCTTCATAGAAGATTAAGACATAAATCATGTCTCCCTTGCTTTTCAATATTTGTGTTAGTTTCTCGAGAGTTTGTTCTTTCATACAACAACTCATATTCACGGATGACAATATAATGATGCCGAGAAATAATAGAGAAAATGCTGAAATTGTGTGTTGCTTAAAGTTTCATGTGACCTGCGTATAAAACTTCAAATTTTTTAGAATGTACAATTACTTTGGGTAATGCGGTGGATCTAGTAACTCGTCATGATCTAACAAACTTGCTAGGAATATTTTTAGAAAATGGTAGGGGATCATATTTGAATTTACTATAATGTTTTCAACAGTTCAAAGTAAGCTCATATTTATCGCAATAAAGTGAAGTAAAGATTATTAAAAAAAATTATTATGGGAAAAATCCCCAGCAAATAAAATATAATGACATTTTTGATATATTTCATGTCCGACTTTTTTCTGTTAAAAGGTTTTTTGAATAGAATAAAATATTCGAGCATAATCAATAGAGATTCTTAGTGGGGTTTTTAAGACAAAAATGATTAAAATTAACTGAAAAATCTATTTTTTTTTTGTTAAGAACCAGTTCTTAAATAAGAAATTTAAGAGCTCGTTCTTAGTGGGGGCTTTTAGCCACATGTCGATTTCTAATTCTCCGGTTTTTTTTACCTTTTCACTTTTTTTTTGAAACTTAAACTTTAATAAAAAATTCCTAATTTTATTCTTAACTTCAACTTTAAAAAAGTTATTTCAAAATTTTTTTATATGTTTCAAATTTCATTTAATGCAATTTCCATAATTTTTTTATTAAGAACCTCATCAGAAGTTCTACCATTACAATGTAGAGTTCCTAAATAAAATTTATAATAAAAAATTAGTTAAAAACCTCATGAGACGTTCTCCCATTGATGATGGTCTTACATAGTACATAGTGAAACAGGGTGAAACCATTCACCAGTTACAAAAAAAAAAAAA